CTTTAAGAATGGCTCTCGATAAGAAAAAAGCTGTTGGAGGGGGGATCATGATATTTAGTACTTGGTGGAAAGATGACTAATACTTTGGGGATTTACTATTTGATATATTTCGACTTAAGTGAGGTTTATTCAAGTCGTGGTAATGAACACCTGGGATATGCTTACCTTTAATGAGTCTCCATAATACACAAGAGTACAACCACAGGGGAAAAATACTTTCGATTTATTTTAATTGTGTATTTACTTATATTTTAATAATTATGGGGCCCTGTGAGAGAGCAGGTGCCCCAACTGAGGGCTACGACACCATGTCGTGTTGGTGTCACAAACCCCGGCCAATGGACTTGGCTTTCGCAAAGGAGGACATGACACATTTGGGGGTTCCGATTAGTACCGATTAGTGATCATCTTGCGCAACATCCAGATACGGAAGCAGATTTGAACGGAAACTGGTCTCGCTTTTAACTCATGACGTCGCGTGGGGCCGTACCTAAAAAGAGACGAAGTTTTAATTTGTTCGCTCACTAAAAAGCTTAAACAACACTGTGTCGTCACATTGACTTGGGCAGCGCTGTCACTCAGCCAACTTTTAGCTTGCATTTCCCATTGGTTAGCCAGCACACAAACGACCATTTGGTTGTGCGTCTACACTGCGCCTCGGTCGTGCGATGAAACTATGCTTTTGTTGAAGTTGAATCAATCTTTGATTTGACACGTCTAATCATTGACGATGATGCGACGAGAAATTTCGTAAATTAGATTATTATATATTCATACTAATAATTCTTCCTAATAATTCACGCCGCTCTTTATTGTTGATGTTTTTCTCGAAATCGACTCGGTTGCCAGAAGTTCCAGATTGTATGTTACGTAACGGCGTTTGGGATCGTCATGACACTTACATAAAGGCGAGGGAGGTGTCCACATGGCAGTCACGGGCCGTTTGAAAGACCCTTTGACAGAAAATATTTGACGCTCGTATTCTCCCCCGCCTCAGAAGTAGTGCTTACGACCCATAGATTCCCTATGTCTCGCATATGAAGGGTTACTGATACTTTTATTTATAAATTGGTCATATCTTGTATTCGCATTTTTTCGTAAGCTTGCGTTTGTGGAACCATGCATTATTGTATATGCTGCAATGCATAACATAATATCCTAAGATATAGATAGCATGGCTGACTGCATTATGCATTTTAGTACAAGAAATACCGGTGTCAAAATGTGAGAGAAAAGGGACGAAAGGATCCGTCCCGCGCTTGAGGGGCTGCGTGGAGGGCCGTAAGGACAGGTGGGTAAGGTCTAGGAGAGAATGGGCAGGCCGGGCCGGGGGGAGTGTCAGGAAGGTGGGGTAGGGAGACGGGGTATGGTGGGCAGGCAAGACAGCGGTGCCACGCGCTATTTTCAACTACTGGTAGAGTGCCGAGCATGCCAGGCACCTCAGTGGCCCTCCGTCCTTCGCTGCCTCACCTCGGCACTCCGGGCCTCTCTGATGGTGACCCTACCTGACCTCGGCCGCGCTACCAGGTCATTCTAATTTTTTGTGTATTTTTTGTGATACAGTGGTTAGTTTAATTGCGAGTGAGAGGGCGAGTAAGCCCCACGCCGACAACTCATTTCTGGGAATTTAAGTGAAAGTGGATCCGTGTTTCGAGTGAGTGTTGTGAAGAAAAAAACATGTGTGGCTTGAAGACTTGGGTGGCGGCAGTGGCGAGGCAGGTGCCGGAGTGGCTGCCCGCCCTGCCCGACTGGAACCTGCCCGCCCTCAACCTCCACCTCCCGGAGTGGAACTTGCCCAACTTAGCGGAATGGAACTTCGGAAACCTTCCTGCGTGGGGCATGCCCGCGCTTCCTGCATGGGTGTACCCTTCGCACGTGCGGGGGTGCGTGCGCGAGCTCGTGCTGTACGTGTGGGTGCTGTTCATCACCTTCCTGGCCGTGAGAGAGGACCCCGCGCGGGAGCAGCTGGTCGAGGAGGAGCGCCCGGCGGGGGAGGTCATCGTCGAGGGGCTGGAGGAGGTGGAGGCGCCGGCTCGGGACACGAAGGCGATTTTAGAGGAAGAGGAGGAAGACGCCGAGGAAGAGGCGGAGGAGGAGGACGAGGAAGATGGCTGGGGTCTTGGGAAGAGAGGCGGCCTCACGCGATACCCAGGCTTTGAAAACCTATTAGATCAGCCGCCCACCGCCGCCCCGCCCCCGCAGCCCGTCCACAGGACCACTCCTCTCTCGCTCTTCTCCCAGCCCGTCGGTAAACAGGGCGATCTGAAGGAGAAACAGGTAAGCGAGGAAGGAAAAGATGAAGAAAGTGAAGGTAAAGCTGCTGTTGACGACGAAGAAAAAGACATTTTGTGGCAGTCGCTTTTGGCGCGTTATGCAGCGGACGAAATGGAGCGACGGCGGAGCATGGACGACGACCCGGAGCAAGAGCCGCCCGAATACGTCGGCACCGCGGAGGAGATCGTCCAGAGATACGCTGCAAAGTTCGAGTTCCCAGACGCGAAGGAGGAAGATGAATCAACCGAGGTCTCAGCAGAAGAGTTTACCGCGAAGCTTGGTCGTCGCTTGGAGGAGTATCTGGCCCGCCTGGAAGAGGACACCGATGTCCAGGCCGACGCCAGGGTGCAGGCGACAGTGCAGGAAGGCCCTGTCGCCGCGGAAGACGGGGAAGAAGACGTGATTGCTAAAGATCTCGAGGAAGAGGAGGTCGTTGAAAAACCACAGAAAGTCCTGAGCATCAAGGAGAGGTTCCTAAATTTCAGGGAGGATGAGATCGAGGTAAAAGACATCAGAGAGGTCGAGGAAGAGGCGGCTGTGAAGGAAGATGAGGACGTTTTCGAAAAGGAAAATGAAGAAAAATACATGTTTTCTCTCAGTGAAGAACAAGACGACTACCCTCTCGAAGATGTCCCTCTGGAAACGGAGAAAGAGGAAGATTCCATTGTTCTCGACTCCCTCCCTGGAGAACTGAAGCGAGTTTCTGAGGTGGTCAATCTGAAGAAAATGTCAGCTATTGAGACAGAGCAAGAAAAAGTAAGTGACGATTTAGATGAAAAAGAGCTAGTAGAGACAGTACCTGAATTAACACAAGATGAGCAACTGGAAGACAGCATAGAGTCAAAAGAAGAAAAGAAGGAAAGTGAGGTTACTGTGCGAGAGAAGCAAACCCACGGCGTAACAGTAAGGTTGAGTGGCATTGTTGTTGAAGAGGAACCCGGGGACGAGGACCTCCTGGAAGAGGAAGCTGAGGTATCTGATTCAAAAGAACTGGCTGAAGAGGCCCTGGAAACATCAGCTGATGCAGAAACGGCAGGCGAGGAAAAAGTAAAGATACCTGAAGTCAAGTTCGAGGTCGAAGAACTTGAAGAAAAGGTCAAGATTGAATACGAAGAGATTGACGAATTAGATTATGAGGAGTTGAAGTCTGAAAACGAAAAAGCAGATATATTAGAGGAGGAACTTGGACTAGCAGATGAAGGTGCCAAAGTAGACACATTACAAGAAGAGAAAGATGAGAGGGTGAAAGAAGAAGAATTGGTGGTCGAACAAGGGGAGGAAAAGGTAGAAGAGGAAAAAATGGAGATAGAGCATGCAGAAGAAAAGTTAGAAGTAGAACAAGCTGAAGAAAAGATTGAAGTGGAAGAAGAAGAAAAGGTGGAAGAGGAGCATGCTGAAGAAAGGGTAGAAATAGACCATGCAGCAGAATCAGCTATAGTGGAGGAAATTAAAGTGAAAAGAGCTTTAAAGGCAGAGGTGGAAGCAGAAGAAATGGAAGAAGTTTATGCTGAAGAGAAGGTAGAAGTAGATACAGAAGAAAAGATGGAAGTAGAGCATGCCGAGGAAATGGTAGAAATAGAGCATGCAGAAGAGCTAGCAAAAATAGAAGAGGTAGAAATAAAACGAGCTTTAAAGGCAGAAGTAGAAGCAGAGGAAATGGAGGAAGAAAATGCTGAAGAAGAGGTAGCAGAGGAGGCAGAAGAAAAAGTGGAGGAAGAACATGCTGAAGAAAAAGTGGAGGCAGAGCATGCAGAAGAAGTGGCGAAGGTGGAAGAAATTGAGGTAAAACGAGCTCTTAAAGCAGAAGTAAAAGCCGACGAAGTCGAAGAAGAACAAGCTGAAGAAAAGGTAGAAGAAGAGACCGAGGAAAAGGTTGAATTAGAACATGCGGAGGAAAAGATAGAAGAAAAGCATGCTGAAGAATCGGCAATAGTGGAGGACGTTGAAGTAAAGCGAGCATTGAAGGCAGAAGTTAAAGCTGAAGAAATAGAGGAAGAACATGCTGAGGAAAAGGTAGAAGTGGAGCCTGAGGAAAAGGTAGAAGAAGAACATGCTGAAGAACAGGTGGAAGCAAAACATGCTGAAGAAATAGCAAAGGTGGAGGAGGTGGAGGTAAAGCAAGCGAAAGCAAAGGAGGAAGTTCCTGATGTCGATAAAAGTGCAGAAAAGCCGACGGTAAAGAGTCGCTTTAGAAGAAGAGACTTCGGAGAAACAGGAACTGTTCGTGATTTCTGGGAAAAACGGAAGCCTCTTGGAGAAGCAGCTGCTGTTGAGGTTTCAAGAGGAAGATTTAAGACAAAGAAAGAAAAGGAGGAAATGAGAAAACTAGAAGAAGTTGTACCAGTAGATGACTTCTGGGGTGTTGAAGAATCGGAGAAAGACACAAGCAAGAAAACCACACAGGAGCCCCTGGCAAAGGGAATCGCATCTGAAGCCGCGCCGCCAGGGCTTTGGGAAGATGATACAGACTTGAAGATTGGAGACAGAAGTCAGCGGACTTCTGCATTATTGGAAACGAATTTAGATGCTCTTACACAGGGCGTCACTCCTGATGAAGATATGAGGGAGGTAGCTGAGGACAAGGATTTATCAGTAGGTAGTGAAAGTCCTATTCTTCCCGCTGCAGAAGAGGCTGAGGATTATCTTGCCGAGATTGAGGACCTGCTTGTAAAACCAAAGCAGAAATTACCAGGCAAGTCACTGCATGAAGAGGATGAAATGCAAGAGAAAGCCACTACAGACCCTCTTCTGGCAAAGTATATGTCAATGCCTGCAAGTCTCACGAAAGATGAAGAGGACGAACTTCGTAAATATTTGTCAGAGCATGAGGAGACTGAAGAGCTTGACTTAGAAAAATTCATGACTATGCCACACACATTAACCGATCAGGAACAAAAGGAGCTAGACGAGGCAGTGAAAGAGCACCACAGTGTGCGGGAGATGGAGCGGCAGGGCCTGGAACGCTTTTTGCAGATGCCGGTGGGTCTGACTGAGCAAGAATTACGGGAGCTGCAAGAACTGGAGCAAGAAGAAGACGACGATCAGGTCTTCGAGGACACAGAAGGAGACAAGTTTGATGACTATCTGTCAATGCCAGTGGGTCTGACAGAGGACGAGGAACGGTTGTTGCGTGAAGGTGGCGAGGATAATGAGTTTGAGAACGAAGAAGAATACCGACAACACATCAAGAGCAAGTTCTTGCAGGAATTGGAAGAGGATGCTTATCGTATGGCTATGGAAGATGATGAATATGGGTATGAGGATGAGGATGAGTATGACGATGAATATGAGTATGATGACGAATATGACGACGAAATGGATATGGAAGGAGAATATGTTATGGTAGAAGATGAAGGCCAGGAAGGTGCTGTAGCAGTTGCACCTGGCACAGGCGCTCAATCCAGCGGCGCTCCCGCAGCAGCACCTATGGTGGACGAAGCAGTGAGCACAATGGACGAGGATGAGCAGAAGAAGACAAAGAAGAAGCTCTTCTCATTCTCGAAAAAAGAGACTTCCCCAGAGGAGACGCCTGGGACGCAGACCAAGAAGTTTTTTCATTTCGGCGGCCTTGGAGCCAAAAAGAAAAAGGAGGATCCTGAGCCACCACACAGGAGGTTTGGAGGAGGAGGCGGCGGTGGAGACTCCTTCACGGCTGCGCTTTGCACTATTACTAGCAAGGTCAAGGGGCAAATTGCAGAACTGCATTTACCTTCCAAAACTACATTAAGAGATAGAGTCCTTATGAGTAAAAAGCCGTTTCAGTTTGTTAAAGAAAATATTTCAAGTCAGAAGAAAGGCCATAATGAACTGACAGAACCTGGGGCTGAGAAAACACTTGTAGACATATCAGTGGTTACTCGTCTATTAGATGAGAAAATGGGTTTTGCAGCAGCAGGTTCTGAAAGTATAGAAGGCGCTGAAAAGCTAGAAAGTAAAGATTTGCTAGAAAGTAAGGAAAGTGCTGCTGAAACAATAGAGAAGACAGAAATAATTAAAGAACCCATGACTGCAGAGTCATTGAGCAGCAGTTTACCACCCTCCATTCCAGAGATCATTGTAGGCAATGGTGATGAGGAAATAGATGAAGAAGTAGCTAGTGTATTTATGCAGGATTTGGTGTCTGAGACAGAACAACAGCAGGTCGTTCTGCCTGAGGGTGTTGAGCCTCTAAAAGGTGGCGGAAGTCCCTTTGGTCATGAAGAAGAATTCTGGCGGCAGTGGAAAGATGATGAACAAGCATGTGTGGCCCAAGAGAGAGATTCTGCTTCTCCATGGGAAATACACCATCAGGCTGACCATCAAGGTGTAAATTCATCTGAACAGGAAACCAAGCCAGGGGACCAGCAAATTAATGCTTCAGATAAAATGCACGAATCTGTAGAAGATTTTATTCATGAGGATGTAAGAGACTCTGTCTCAGAAGAATTACAGAAAACCTCTTCAGAGGAGTTGCAAGAATCTTCCCCTGAGGATTTGCTATACAGTACATCTGAGGAATTGCAAGATACGATTCCAGAGAAAGTACAGGACATTTCTGTGCAGGAGGATTCTCTGTCTGAGAAGTCAGAAACTTCCCCTGATATGTCTCATGGCTCCTTATCTGAGAGAGTAGAAGACAGTATTCCACTGGATTCCATGCCTGAGGAAAAGGTAAAATCTTTTGACATTATGCTTGAGGATATGGAAGATGTTCAAGGCGTCACTCGAGATGAGCCAAAATGCGAAGAGAAGCCTGAACACTTTAGCCAAAATGATGACTCCACCAGTAAAGATATTCAAGATTCTTCTGGTAAGCTGCAAGAAAATACTAATGAGGAACTTCAGGACTCTCCTTCAGAAGATCAAATCTCTACTCCAGAAAGTTATGAGGACAGTCTTTCTGGAAAGTTTCATGATACCACCCCTGATGAATCACAGAGTGCTATTGATGTGAAAAGTCAGGAGTCCAGCCAAGGGGATCTTCATGAATCAAGCTCTGAAAAGCTACAAGAGATCTCGACCTCAGATGATTCCACACCTGAAAAATATCAAGATGCTCTGTCAGATGAGGCACTGAAATCTCTGTCTGATGAAGCACAAAGTGCAGTACATACAGATGTAATTGATACTGCACAAGCTAAAACACGAGATACTCCTTCTGATAGTAGTCCAGAGATTTACAGTTCACTCTCTGAGGGACTGCATGACACTACCCCAGAAGAGGCACTCAGCTCTTTCTCAGAAAAATTGACAGATCTCTCTCTAGAAGAGGCACTCGGTTCCATCTCTGATAAACTGAGAGATACTACTCCTGAAAAGACTTACAGCTCCACTTCTGAGGGTGGCCTTACCCCAGAGGAAATACAGAGCTCTACCTCTGAAGAACTGTATAGCATTACCCCAGAACAAACAAAGACTCCTGCAGAGCACAGCTCTATCTCCGAAGAACTGTGTGAAGAGTCACGTAGTTCCACCTCTGATGGACTGCATGATATTACCCCAGAGGAGGCACATACCTCTGTTTCAGATGAACTAAAAAGCAGTTCCACTTCAAATGAGCTCCATGATGCCACCCCTGAAGAGATGCAGACCTCAACTTCAGAAGAACAGGTTTCATCACCTGAAAAATTCCAAGATGCCCTCACAGAGGACCTGCAGGATTCCACCATGGAAGAAGTAAAGAACTTGTCTCTTGAAGAAGGAGGTGACATGTATAAAAGAGCAACATCTGTGCATGACTCTAGCCATGAGGATCTACAGGATTCTATTTCTGAACATTTATTAAGCTCAACATCTGAGGATTCGAAGAAGGATATGAAGGAGGATTCCATTGAAGAGCACCAGAGCTCTACTCCAAGTGAGTTAATCTCAAGCCATGAAGCACTGGATTCTTCTGCCTCCGAAAAGCTACGGGAATCGGCATCAGATGAACAAATCTCTATACCCGAAAAGGTACAAGATGTCAAAAAGATACACGATTCTACTTCAGAAGAACAGATATCTGAGTCTGTTTCAGAGGAACAAGCTTCCACACCTGAAAAGTTTCAGGATGCTCTCTCAGACGAAATACAGGATGTGATTCCCAAAGAACTACAAGACAGTGAACAAAAGTCTAGCCTAGGAGATGGCATAAATCAACAAGAACTTCAGGATTCTACTACCGAGGAACTACAAGAAAGACTGCAGGATTCAAAATCAGGTAAGTTACAGGAAATTACTTCTAGGGAACTACAAGATTCTCTTCAGGAAGATTTGCAGGATTCAGTCTCAGATAAGGTACAGCACAGTGCTTCCGTGGAACTTCAAAGATCTATCCATGAACTGCAGGGGTTAGAAGACTTTAGTACTGAAGCACTGTTGGATTCAGTGTCAGATAAATTTCAGGACACTACTGAGGAACTGCAAGATTCTAGCCCTGAAGAGCGACAGGATTCATTTTCTTTGCAGGATATTACTCCAGATGACAGGTCTACCCCAGAAGAGTTTCATGACACCACATCAGATGATATCCAAGATTCTATTTCAGAAAAGATTTTCGAGCCAGTGCAGTTACAGGGTACCAAGTTAAAAGGCACCACTCCAGAGGAACTGGAGTACACCAGTGCAGGAGAAGTTAAAGACACTGTTTTGACTCCAGCTAAGTTAGATGATAGCTTCTCAGATGAGTACACTACACCTGATGAAATGGAGGAATCTTCCCCTGAGGATGGTGACAATGAAACAGCGAAGATGCAGAGAGATATCCCCACAGAAATGAAAGGAGTTCCTCCTGAAAAAATGCAGGACTTAGCAGAGGGGCAGCCGCCCATTATGCAAGGAGACTTGCTGGAAGTGCATTTAGGTGGTTTTCAGATCATTACTTCAGAAGAATTACAAGAGGTGAAAATCATACAAGAAGTAGACCAAACAGTTACGTATGGGCAGTTGCACGATGTTAAACAGAAAGATATCACTCTGGAGGACATCACAGATGAAGAACTACAAAGGATTACAGATGAAGACCTACAGGACAGTGCTTCTGAAAAGCTAGAGGATATTACTCTTGAAGAGCTGCTTGACATTACACATGAAGACCTCCAAGAAGTTATATGTGAAGAACTGCACGAAATTACACCTGCAGATCTACAAACTATTGCATCAGAAGAACTTGGGCAAGGTGTCCAAGAGCAAGTGGATGTAACAGTTAAGAAAGTGGAGGTTATTTCTACTGAGGTACTAGCGTTTGCAGATGAGGCACCACAGGATATTTCACGAGAGAAACCAGCTATTTCACAGGAGGAAGAAACTGAAAAACTGGAGGAGATGCAAGATGTTACAGATAAGAAACTAATTGATAATAAACTAGAGGAACTCCAGGGTGTTACACCCAAGGAACTAGAAGATTTTGTACCTGAGGAATTATCAGTTTTTACAACTCAGCACTTAGAATGTGTAACACTTGAGAAGAAAGAGGGATTAACACTTGGTGAAGTAGATGTTAAAACTGAAGAATTACGTGATGTTACATCAGAAATTAATGTTATGCATGAGGAATCACAGGAGTTTACAGATGAACTAGAAGATTTTGTACTAGATGAAATAGGTAGCATTACATCAGCCACTGCAACAGAGAAACAAGGTGTTGTACCCAAGGAATTGCATGATGTCACACCTAGAAGACCAGAAGATGTGGATTTTGAACTAAAACATGTTATACCAGAGGAAACAGGTGATATAAGTAAGGAATTGCAAGGTGTTACACCTGAAGATTCAGATGCTGTTATCCCTAGGGAACTGCAACCTGCTTCACCTGCAAAGTCACAGGATGTTGCAGAGAAGGTACGAGAGATTACAGCAACAGGCTTGCAGGATATTACTCCTGAAAGATCACAAGGTATCACTGTTACACTTGAGAAAATACAGGACCTTGTATATGAATTGCTAGACGATACACCAGAAAAAACAGAGGCTGCTGATATACAGGAAGAATTACGTGATATCAAAATTAGCAAGTTATCAGAGAAACAAGAGGATTTGACTCCAGAACAATTGCAGGTAGATCCACCAGAGAAATCACAGGATCTCACACAACAAGAGGTACAGGATATTACACCCAAGAAAGCAGATATTATACCAGAAACATTAGAGGATATTGTGCCAGAGGAACCGGAGGATGCTACACCAGAGGAATTGCAGAAAGTTAAAGTTGAAGGGTCGCGGGATGCCCCTGCGCAACAAGAAGAATTAGAAGTAGCTGTTTACGAGAAACTAGATAAAATTGCTTCTGAAGAACCAGAGAGTATAACATTTGAAGAACTGGAGGGTATAACACCAGAAGAACCAGAGGGTATAACACCTGACGAATCGGAGGGTATACCACCTCAAGAGCCAGAGAGTATAACAGAAGACTCAGAGGGTATAACACCAGAAGAACCAGAGGGTATAACACCAGAAGAACCAGAGGGTATAACACCAGAAGAACCAGAGGCTATAACACCAGAAGAACCAGAGGCTATAACACCAGAAGAACCAGAGGCTATAACACCAGAAGAACCAGAGGCTATAACACCAGAAGAACCAGAGGGTATAAAACCTGAAGAACCAGAGGGTATAACACCAGAAGAACCAGAGGAACCAGAGGGTATAACACCAGAGGAGCCAGAGAGTATAACTGAAGATTCAGAGGGTATAACACCAGAAGAACCAGAGGGTATAACACCAGAGGAGCCAGAGAGTATAACTGAAGATTCAGAGGGTATACCACCAGAAGAACCAGAGGGTATAACACCAGAAGAACCAGAGGGTATAACACCAGAAGAACCAGAGGGTATACCACCAGAAGAACCAGAGGGTATACCGCCTGAGGAGCCAGAGAGTATAACTGAAGATTCAGAAGGTATAACACCAGAAGAACCAGAGGGTATAACACCTGAAGAACCAGAGAGTTTAACATCAGAAGAACCAGAGGGTATACCTCTTGAGGAGCCAGAGAGTATAACTGAAGATTCAGAGGGTATAGCACCAGAAGAAATAGAGGGTATAACACCTGAAGAACCAGAGGGTATAACACCAGAAGAACCAGAGGGTATACCGCCTGAGGAGCCAGAGAGTATAACAGAAGATTCAGAGGGTATAACACCAGAAGAACCAGAGGGTATGACGCCTGAAGAACCAGAGGGTATAACACCAGAAGAACCAGCGGGTATACCATCTGAGGAGCCAGAAGGTATAACAGAAAAAACAGAGGGTATACCACCTGAGGAGCCAGAGAGTAAAAATGAAGATTCAGAGGGTATACCACCAGAAGAACCAGAGGGTATAACACCAGAAGAACCAGAGGGTATAACACCAGAAGAACCAGAGGGTATACCACCAGAAGAACCAGAGGGTATACCGCCTGAGGAGCCAGAGAGTATAACTGAAGATTCAGAAGGTATAACACCAGAAGAACCAGAGGGTATACCTCTTGAGGAGCCAGAGAGTATAACTGAAGATTCAGAGGGTATAACACCAGAAGAACCAGAGGGTATAACACCTGAAGAACCAGAGGGTATACCTCTTGAGGAGCCAGAGAGTATAACTGAAGATTCAGAGGGTATAGCACCAGAAGAAATAGAGGGCATAACACCTGAAGAACCAGAGGGTATACCGCCTGAGGAGCCAGAGAGTATAACAGAAGATTCAGAGGGTATAACACCAGAAGAACCAGAGGGTATAACACCAGAAGAACCAGAGGGTATACCACCAGAAGAACCAGAGGGTATACCGCCTGAGGAGCCAGAGAGTATAACTGAAGATTCAGAAGGTATAACACCAGAAGAACCAGAGGGTATACCTCTTGAGGAGCCAGAGAGTATAACTGAAGATTCAGAGGGTATAGCACCAGAAGAAATAGAGGGTATAACACCTGAAGAACCAGAGGGTATACCGCCTGAGGAGCCAGAGAGTATAACAGAAGATTCAGAGGGTATAACACCAGAAGAACCAGAGGGTATACCGCCTGAGGAGCCAGAGAGTATAACTGAAGAACCAGAAGGTATAACACCTGAAGAACCAGAGGGTATACCACCAGAAGAACCAGAGGGTATACCGCCTGAGGAGCCAGAGAGTATAACTGAAGATTCAGAGGGTATAGCACCAGAAGAAATAGAGGGTATAACACCTGAAGAACCAGAGGGTATAACACCAGAAGAACCAGAGGGTATACCTCCTGAAGAGCCAGAGAGTATAACTGAAGAACCAGAGGGTATAACACCAGGAGAACCAGAAAGTATAACACCAGAAGAACCAGAGGGTATACCACCTGAGGAGCCAGAGGGTATAACTGAAGTATCAGAGGGTAAAACACCAGAAGGTATAACACCAGAAGAACCAGAGGGTATACCGCCTGAGGAGCCAGAGAGTATAACTGAAGAACCAGAAGGTATAACACCAGAAGAACCAGAGGGTATACCGCCTGAAGAGCCAGAGAGTATAACTGAAGAACCAGAAAGTATAACACCAGAAGAACCAGAGGGTATACCACCTGAGGAGCCAGAGGGTATAACTGAAGTATCAGAGGGTAAAACACCAGAAGGTATAACACCAGAAGAACCAGAGGATATACCGCCTGAGGAGCCAGAGAGTATAACTAAAGAACCAGAAGGTATAACACCAGAAGAACCAGAGGGTATACCGCCTGAAGAGCCAGAGAGTATAACTGAAGAACCAGATGGTATAACACCAGAAGAACCAGAGGGTATACCACCAGAAGAACCAGAGGGTATACCACCTGAGGAGCCAGAGAGTATAACGGAAGAACCAGAAGGTATAACACCAGAAGAACCAGAGGGTATACCGCCTGAGGAGCCAGAGAGTATAACTGAAGAACCAGAAAGTATAACACCAGAAGAACCAGAGGGTATACCGCCTGAGGAGCCAGAGAGTATAACTGAAGAACCAGAAAGTATAACACCAGAAGAACCAGAGGGTATACCACCTGAGGAGCCAGAGAGTATAACGGAAGAACCAGAAGGTATAACACCTGAAGAACCAGAGGGTATACCGCCTGAGGAGCCAGAGAGTATAACTGAAGATTCAGAGGGTATAACACCAGAAGAACCAGAGGGTATAACGCCCTGAAGAACCGAGGGGTATAACACCAGATGAATCCAGAGGGTATAACACCAGAAGAACCAGAGGGTATACCGCCTGAGGAGCCAGAGAGTATAACTGAAGATTCAGAGGGTATAACACCAGAAGAACCAGAGGGTATAACGCCTGAAGAACCAGAGGGTATAACACCAGGAGAACCAGAGGGTATAACACCAGAAGAACCAGCGGGTATACCATCTGAGGAGCCAGAAGGTATAACAGAAAAACCAGAGGGTATACCACCAGAAGAACCAGAGGGTATACCACCTGAGGAGCCAGAGAGTATAACTGAAGAACCAGATGGTATAACACCAGAAGAACCAGAAGGTATAACACCAGAAGAACCAGAGGGTATACAATCTGAGGAGCCTGAAGGTATAACAGAAAAAACAGAGGGTATACCACCAGAAGATCCAGAGGGTATACCGCCTGAGGAGCCAGAGAGTATAACTGAAGAACCAGATGGTATAACACCTGAAGAACCAGAGGGTATACCTGAGGAGCCAGAGAGTATAACAGAAGATTCAGAGAGTATAACACCAGAAGAACCAGAGGGTATACCACCTGAGGAGCCAGAGAGTATAACGGAAGAACCAGAAGGTATAACACCTGAAGAACCAGAGGGTATACCTCCAGAAGAACCAGAGGGTATACCTCCAGAAGAACCAGAGGGTATACCACCTGAGGAGCCAGAGAGTATAACTGAAGATTCAGAGGGTGTAACACCAGAAGAACCAGAGGGTATACCACCTGAGGAGCCAGAGAGTATAACTGAAGATTCAGAGGGTGTAACACCTGAAGAACCAGAGGGTATACCGCCTGAGGAGCCAGAGAGTATAACGGAAGAACCAGAAGGTATAACACCAGAAGAACCAGAGGGTATACCACCTGAGGAGCCAGAGAGTATAACAGAAGAACCAGAGGGTATAACACCAGAAGAACCAGAGGGTATACCGCCTGAGGAGCCAGAGAGTATAACAGAAGACTCAGAGGGTATAACACCAGAAGAACCAAAGAGTATACCACCTGAGGAGCCAGAGGATATAACTTCCGAAGGACCGAATCTTGCACAGGCTATTATGCCCGAAGAAACTGAAGGTGTAACACCTGAGGAACCAGAAGGTGCAACATGTAAAAAAACGAAGGGCGTAACGCCAGAGGAACCAAACGACCTAGAGGCAACCGTCCCTGATGTTATACTGACGGCAGAACCAGAGGGCACTGCACCAGGGAAACTGCAAAAAGTGACCGACACTGAAGAAACTGTGACAGATGAAGTGACACAACTCGCGAGCGCTGAGGATATGAAAACAGGAGAGAAACCAGTCAGTGTTATGGATCAACAAATAAATGAAGATGAAGTATCATTAACTGATCAAGAAAAAGTAATTAGTGGAGAAATATCAGCAACTGATTTAACGGAAGATGAGCAGATGCAGGACAGTGAACAGTATGAAGTGACTGATGAGAGATCAGCGACTGATGAAAGACATCTTGCGTTGGAGGACGAAAAAGACCATGAGAAGGAGGATTATAAAAGTGAACAGTCATCCAAAGATAGTAAACGATTAGTAGCTGATAGAACTTCAAAGACTGACGATGAGCGACAGGAAACTGACAATCAGCAAGCACATGAAGACGAAGGAATGACTGACGATGGGAAGACAGTGAGTAGGGATGAACAAATGACTGACATTGACATTTCAATGTCTGAAAAACTGATGTCAGAAGACGAACAAGTAACTGATTCAGAACAGGTTACTAAAGACACACATAAAACTGATGACGAAAAGCAACTAACTGAATCTGAACAGGTAGCTGACAGTGAAAACCTTGTAACTGATTCTGAACAGATTGCGACTGAAGACGAACAGATGACTGACGATGAAAAGGCAGTAACAGACCATACAGTACCTAGAACTAGAGGCATTACCGACGAGTGTGTAGACAATGTGAGCAGTGAGGAACACAAACCCGAGTCAGAAGTGAGCGAAATAATTGTAGACAAACAGGTAGACCGCCACGAGGGAGGCATTCAGATGTCAGGTAGTGATAGCATTAGAATAGAATCATCAGAGGGTAGCGGCAGTCATGAAAATGGTGGAGTTGTAACAAAAGGTGCCAGTGCCCCTGACAGAACGGCTGGGATTTTAGTAAGACCTGACGAGAGCGGAACGCGCACTGCTAATGAGAGTGAGAAAGATGGAGAGCCGTCAGATGAAGGAGCATCTGGATCAGCAGTTTCCTCCTCGGGGGGTAAAGGTAAAAGTGCTTACTAGGAGGCAGCTTGTCGCTAAAAAATATGTAGCTACGGCCGTAACTACGTGGCATTGTAACAAAGTATACCTCACTAAAAGAAGTGAATTTTTATTTTTTTTAAACCAGTGACAATTTGCAAAGGTTCGAAATGTTGCTTATAAAGGGTTTGTACCAAAGTGTGGTTGTTCATCTAACCAGTGTGATATAAGAACCTTGATTTGTCTTCATTCAAGACATCAAGCAATGCGTATGTACTTGGTTAGCCTTGTTTATGTTACATGGCCAGTGTAGTATGTTTTCACATTGCATAGGCAGTGTAGAATACCTTATATCTTTTCTAAAGCATTATGATATTGGCCTAGTGCCTGCTAAATTTCGAACTTATTACTTGATTCACTATTTGTATATAATTAATCATTATCGTGATAGTTACGAAACCCAGTGTAAAATAGTAAAAACTACAAATTTTGCTCTCCGGAGTTGATCTTGATAGCCTTCACTTGTTCAGTAATGTCTACGAAAGTATATGATCTTTAAGGTCATGAAATACAATCATGCAAATAATAGAAACTATTTACAAAAAGTTTTGTTTCAAAGGAAGAGGAAAGACAGTGAAACAAAATATATTAAGACCAAGCAAGTGCTCACAAAAGGGTTGTGTTCTCTCAATGTTTCCTTCGGTTTTCTCTTGAAACTTGTCTTTGAACAATTATCAACTGACTAAAGCGGGGGCTTTGCAGTTTTGGGATTGACTGTTATGCTTTCTTTATCTTCAAAGCTGTTTCTTCTTAGCAATTTCTTTTACGCTCTTCTTTGTGAATGTTTACTTTTACCACATAAGTTCCAGCTGGATGGACTGTAATTTTTCATTTAATTCGTGTGATGCTTGTTATTTTCCTGATGTACGGTATATATATATGTGTGTGTGTGTGTGTATGTGTACACACACACACACACACACACACACATACACATATATATATATATATATATATATATATATATATATATATATATATATATATATATATATGGATAATATATATATATATGGATAATATATATATATATATGGATAATATATATATATATATATATATATATATATATATATATATATATATATATATATATATATTGCTTATCCCTTCATTGCGTTTATTGCACTATGAACAACTGACATTCTATGAAAAAATTGCCTTTGATCCTCACAACAGTAGTGAGTGATCCAGAATTAGTAAGGAATAATCTCTAAATGTGCAGTTGAATTGCAACCTCAATTTCATTTGCTCGATATTTCATATAAGACTGCTTTGTAATGGTTGTTATAATGTATGAAGAAAATTTTCATTGTAGTTGGAGAATATGCCAACATTGTTAGTACTTTCTTTAATGGGAACTAGTGCTTCACAAGACAATCAGTAATAAAGCCTTCTCTGTTCCAGGTGCCACCATGTCAGATGTGGAGGAAACAGCAGAGTCCCCAGTAAGTATCCGGCGGACGGAGCCACACTCCCTGGTGGAGGCAGACTCCCTAGAGTATGATGTCAACACTAACCTCCCCCCTGGCCTAATCCCCCCGGTCAAGACCTCAACTGGGGGCGCCAATCCCACCCTTCAGGAGATAATTGAGGCAGAACTAAATGCACGCTTTTGTCAACCCGATTCCCTTGAATCACCATCTGCACCATCCTCTCCCCCTCCCCATTCCTCTATCATCAGCTGCGATTCCATTGAACCGCTCCCCTCACCCTCAGCCACTCAACCCTTAAGTCTCGATTCCCTAACGTGTGAAACTTCAGTGCAAGATCCCCTTTCTGGCATGGAGGTTGAGAGTGGCATTGACATGCTCTCACCAACTAAACTAGATGACCTAAGTAACCCTGACTCCCTGGAATCCTCTTCTGACTTGCCTGGGTCACCCCCAATCCCTTGTTCCTCCCCTGAGCCTGAAGCGCTCTTTGAGGAAAGAAGACAGGGGTCAACTCACTCCCTCAGTAGGGACGGCCTAGAGAGCCAGACCCCCGCAGAAGATTCTGCTCAGAGTCGCAGCCAAACATCTGTTCACAGCCATATCGAAAGCCTAAGCCAAGAAACTGCACGCAGTCTTAGCCAGGCATCTATCTATACTGGATATGAAGTTCAAGAAATTGCCCATAGCCTGAGCCAGGCCTCCATCCAAAGCCAAAGCGAGGGCCAAGAAATTGCCCACAGTGTCAGCCAGGCCTCCATCCGAAGTCAGAGTGAAGCCCAGGAAATTGCCCACAGTCTCAGCCAGGCATCAATCCGAGGACAAAGCGAAACCCCAGAAATTGCCCACAGTCTCAGCCAGGCCTCCATCCGAAGTCAGAGCGAAGCCCAGGAAATTGCCCACAGTCTCAGCCAGGCCTCCATCCGAAGTCAGAGCGAAGCCCAGGAAATTGCCCACAGTCTCAGCCAGGCATCAATCCGAGGACAAAGCGAAGCCCCAGAAATTGCCCATAGTGTCAGCCAGGCCTCCATCCGAAGTCAAAGCGAAGCCCAGGAAATTTCCCACAGTCTCAGCCAGGCATCAATCCGAGGACAAAGCGAAGCCCCAGAAATTGCCCACAGTCTCAGCCAGGCTTCCATCCAAAGTCAGAGTGAAGCCCAGAAAATTGCCCACAGTCTCAGCCAGGCTTCCATCCGAAGTCAGAGTGAAGCCCAGAAAATTGCCCACAGTCTCAGCCAGGCTTCCATCCGAAGTCAGAGTGAAGCCCAGGAAATTGCCCACAGTCTCAGCCAGGCTTCCATCCAAAGTCAGAGTGAAGCCCAGGAAATTGCCCACAGTCTCAGCCAGGCCTCCATCCGAAGTCAGAGCGAAGCCCAGGAAATTGCCCACAGTCTCAGCCAGGCATCAATCCGAGGACAAAGCGAAGCCCCAGAAATTGCCCACAGTCTCAGCCAGGCTTCCATCCGAAGTCAGAGTGAAGCCCAGGAAATTGCCCACAGTCTCAGCCAGGCTTCCATCCGAAGTCAGAGTGAAGCCCAGGAAATTGCCCACAGTCTCAGCCAGGCCTCCATCCAAAGTCAGAGTGAAGCCCAGGATATTGCCCACAGTCTCAGCCAGGCTTCCATCCAAAGTCAGAGTGAAGCCCAGGAAATTGCCCACAGTCTCAGCCAGGCCTCCATCCGAAGTCAGAGTGAAGCCCAGGATATTGCCCACAGTCTCAGCCAGGCTTCCATCCAAAGTCAGAGTGAAGCCCAGGAAATTGCCCACAGTCTCAGCCAGGCCTCCATCCGAAGTCAGAGTGCAGCCCAGGAAATTGCCCACAGTCTCAGCCAGGCTTCCATCCAAAGTCAGAGTGAAGCCCAGGAAATTGCCCACAGTCTCAGCCAGGCCTCCATCCGAAGTCAGAGTGAAGCCCAGGAAATTGCCCACAGTCTCAGCCAGGCCTCCATCCGAAGTCAGAGTGAAGCCCAGGAAATTGCCCACAGTCTCAGCCAGGCATCAATCCGAGGACAAAGCGAAGCCCCAGAAACTGCCCACAGTCTCAGCCAGGCTTCTATCCAAAGTCAGAGTGAAGCCCAGGAAATTGCCCACAGTCTCAGCCAGGCTTCCATCCGAGGACAAAGCGAAGCCCCAGAAATTGCCCACAGTGTCAGCCAGGCCTCAATCCAAAGCAAAAGTGAAGGAAAAGAAATTGCCCACAGTCTCAGCCAGGCTTCCATCCGAAGTCAGAGTGAAGCCCAGAAAATTGCCCACAGTCTCAGCCAGGCTTCCATGCGAAGTCAGAGTGAAGCCCAGGAAATTGCCCACAGTCTCAGCCAGGCCTCCATCCGAAGTCAGAGTGAAGCCCAGGAAATTGCCCACAGTCTCAGCCAGGCATCAATCCGAGGACAAAGCGAAGCCCCAGAAATTGCCCACAGTCTCAGCCAGGCCTCCATCCAAAGCAAAAGTGAAGGAAAAGAAATTGCCCACAGTCTCAGCCAGGCCTCCATCCGAAGTCAGAGTGAAGCCCAAGAAATTGCCCACAGTCTCAGCCAGGCTTCCATGCGAAGTCAGAGCGAAGCCCAAGAAATTACCCACAGTCTCAGCCAGGCCTCCATCCGAAGTCAGAGTGAAGCCCAAGAAATTGCCCACAGTCTCAGCCAGGCCTCCATCCGAAGTCAGAGTGAAGCCCAAGAAATTTCCCACAGTCTCAGCCAGGCATCAATCCGAGGACAAAACGAAGCCCCAGAAATTGCACACAGTCTCAGCCAGGCTTCCATCCAAAGTCAGAGTGAAGCCCAGGAAATTGCCCACAGTCTCAGCCAGGCTTCCATCCGAAGTCAGAGTGAAGCCCAGGAAATTGCCCACAGTCTCAGCCAGGCCTCCATCCGAAGTCAGAGTGAAGCCCAAGAAATTGCCCACAGTCTTAGCCAGGCTTCCATGCGAAGTCAGAGTGAAGCCCAGGAAATTGCCCACAGTCTCAGCCATGCCTCCATCCAAAGTCAGAGTGAAGCCCAAGAAATTGCCCACAGTCTCAGCCAGGCCTCCATCCGAAGTCAGAGTGAAGCCCAAGAAATTGCCCACAGTCTCATCCAGGCATCAATCCAAGGACAAAGCGAAGCCCCAGAAATTGCCCACAGTCTTAGCCAGGCCTCCATCCGAAGTCAGAGTGAAGCCTCAGAAATTGCCCACAGTTTTAGCCAAGCCTCCATCCGAAGTCAGAGTGAAGCCCAAGAAATTACCCACAGCCTCAGCCAGGCCTCCATCCGAAGTCAGAGTGAAGCCCAAGAAATTGCCCACAGCCTCAGCCAGGCTTCCATCCATAGCCAAAGTGGATCCCCAGAAATTACTCACAGTCTCAGCCAGGCATCAATCCACAGCCAAAGCAAAGCATCAGAAATTGCCCACAGCCTCAGCCAGGCCTCCATCCGAAGTCAGAGTGAAGCCCAAGAAATTGCCCACTGTCTTAGCCAGGCTTCTGTCTCTAGCGAAAGCAAGACTCCAGAAGTTGCACACAGTTTCAGCCAGGCCTCCATCCATACCCAAAGTGTAGTGGAAGATATTGCCCACAATCTCAGCCAGGCCTCCATCCAAAGCCAAAGTGAGGCCCAAGAAATTGCCCACAGTCTCAGCCAGGCTTCCATTCAAAGCCAAAGTGAAACCCAAGAAATTGCCCACAGCCTCAGCCAGGCCTCTATCCATAGCCAAAGTGAAACCCCAGAAGTTGCCCACAGCCTCAGCCAGGCCTCTATCCATACCCAAAGTGAAGTCCCAGAAATTGCCCACAGTTTCAGCCAGGCTTCCATCCATACTCATAGTGAAGGCCAAGGAGTTGTTCATAGTGTCAGCCAGGTTTCCTCCCCTAGCCAAAGTGAAACTTCAGAAATTGCCCACAGTCTCAGCCAGGCCTCCGTTCATATCAAAAGCAATGGTAAAGAAATTATCCAAAGTATCAGCCAGGCCTCCACCCATGACGAAGACAAAGCCCAAAAAAATTCTCCTAATCTCTTACACAGTCATGAGAGTGATATGTTGCAAAGCCAGGATTCCCTGCATGATCCAGAGTCTCTTCGTAGCATCAGCCATTCATCTGTTCAGAGTGACCAGTCTCCTCTGAGACATAGTCAGGGATCTAGCCATAGCTCTCATCGGAGTGAGGAAGCTTATTACAGCGTAAGTGAGGAGACCCACAGCCAAATGTCTCTGCAGAGTCAAACAACGTTGCAGACCTTGAGTCAGATTTCCCTGCAAAGTCAAAGTCATATATCTCTGCAAGCTAGAAAGCTTGATGAGGATGCGGTCTCACAGAAGACCAAGGATGAGACAGTGACTGAAAGCCCATTACCTTACTATGATCTACGCTACCTCAATGACTCCTCAAGTGATGTTTATCCTTCCCCAGGAACATCAAACTGTTCCTTAGCTCCCAGCTCTCCTCGCTCCTTGGATGACAGTTCACCTCTGTCATCTATGTCATCTAACCAGCTTGCACCTCCCAGTACGGCTCAGGCTACAACTCCCAGTACTCCACAGTCCTTAGCACCGAGCACTTCTCAGCCTGTTACTCCAAGCACCCCAAGATCAATGGCTCCTGTTACACCACATCCCTTGATGGCCATTAGTCCGAGGTCATTGATTCCCAGCTCTCCCCAGTCCGTGGCTCCTGGGACACCTAAGCTTGCACCTCGAAGCATAACTCATTCTTTGGCTCCAGGTCTTCCCGGTCCTTTGGCGCTTGACTCTGAAATATCCATATCATCTGACTCTGTAGGTCGTGGTTCTGCTCGGCCCATGGTTCCCAGTACACTGAGGATAATGAGTCCAATTTCTTTAACAATCAGCACACCTAGATCTGCAGCTCCCACAGACTTAATAACTCCCAGCTCGCCACGCTCCTTCGTTCCAAGCTTGCCAAGCTTGCCCCTCACCCCCAGCTCGCTTCGATCCATTGCTCCCGCGGCATCTGCGACCAAAAGCTCTCCTGACACCCTCAGTTCCTCTCATACACCAGTACCTACCAAGCCAGAAACAGACACAAGCTCATCAGTAACTGCATCTTCGGCCTTTGTGCAAGCTCCTTGCCCTGTGCCAAGGGCATCACTGAGTCGCACTCCCTCGTCCAAGTCCTCGACCTCTTTCCCAACACCTGCTTCCCTCTCACCCTCCACGCCCTCCTCTCATGCACCGCGCTACACAACTCCTCCCGAATCCCCAGGTGCCACTAGGTCATCCTCTGCGCTTGTCTCTCCGGCAGGATCTGTCCCTTCCCTGACCCCCGATTCCCCTCAGATCCCTCAGTCCCTACACCCACTAGGTTCCCTAAGAGTCATTGGATCCCCCCAGGTCTTGGCCCCCCAAGCAACCCCCTTATTTCCCCCCCGGGCCGGCGCCCCTGCCACTTCCCCCAGAGTTACTAACATGGACCG